TATATAGTTCATTCTAAACACTAGTCCTCTGTCAGAAGAGTAGCTAGCACTAAAATTTCTCTCCCATTTGGTAGACTTTTTCACTTTGTTGATTATTTGTTGTGCCTTTTAATTTGATAAGGTCTCATTTGGTGATTCTGGTACTATTTCCTGTGCACCTAGAATTCTATTTAGGAAGTCTTTTAGGTTTCCCGTTTTATCTTTAGCAGTTTCAAAGTTTCTGTTTTTATATCTTGATCTTGTATCCATTTTTATTTGATTTTAGAATAGCAACAAGGATCTAAGTTTCAATCTTTTATAGATGGGTAGCTCTTTCCCCAATAACATTTGTGAAAGAGGCTGACTTTTCTCCCAAAGTAGCCCCTTTGTCAAAACTCAGGTGGCTGCAGGTTCATGGTGTTGTTTCTTTGTCTTCTATTTGACTCTACCAGTACCTGTGTTACTCTAGTTCTTAGTATAACTTTCAAACTGGTATTATGATGCCTATAGCATTGCTCTTTTTGGTCAGGATTGCTTCAGCTATTCTGAGACTTTTGTGCTTCCATATAAATTTTAGGATTGTTTTTTCTGTTTCACTGAAGAATGTTAGTATAGGGATTGTGTTAAATGTATAGGTTGCTTTTGATAAAATTTCCAGTTTCACTACATTAGTTCTTCAAATTCAAAAACAAGGTTTTGCTAGTTTTTGATGTCTTCAGTTTCTTTCCTCTCCTCAGAGCTCTGTAATTTTCCATTTACAGGTCTTTCATTTCCTCTAGATTGATTCCTAGGTATTTGTTTTTAGAAACTATTGTGAATGCAATTGTTTTCTTGTTTTTTTCTCAGCAAGTCCGTTATTGGTATGCAGGAATGCTATGGACTTTTCTGTGTTGATTCTGTAGCCTTTAGCTTTTGCTTTTTCATCTCTCTCAAGTTTGTATAGTTTTTCCTATTTTGACTATAAATCTAATGTATGCTTGTTTCAAGTCTAGCAAGTGGGCTGGTGAGATGGCTCAGTGGTATAAGCACTTACTTAGAACAAGCTTAGCAAAGCACAGGGATCCTGGTTCAATCCTCCAGCTCCATATGCCAGCCAGCCCCACCCCCTGGTGGGCTGAGCTGGCGCGCGTGCGCGCGCACACACACACACACAAATAAATAAATAAAATTAAAAAAAAAAGTCTAGGAAGTACATAAAACTTAAGAAAATAGAAATCTAGTAGAGCATCCTTTTTTCCCCCTGATTTTTAGAGGATATTTGGTTTTTAGGCTGAGCTCCTTGAGATAGGATAGTGTTTTATTTATTTCTGCATTTTTCTCTTTGTAGGGACAAAATTAATATTTATTAAATGAGTAAGAATTAGTAAAATTGCATGTTGCTTTCCTTCCTTCTTCTTGCTGAAAGCATGTATTTCTTTAGTAGAGCTGGGGGCTGAGCTCCCTGCCGGGCATGTGCTAGGCAGGTGTTCTACCAGGGCACTACACACCAGTCCTGCAACAGCAACACTATAGGTTGAGGATGGGAGCCAGCTGATGACTGGACCTGAAGCTCCCTGGGACGTTCCAGGGTGGGTTCGCATATGTTCAGAGGGAATATATGTGGTAAAGTTTTAAGACCTTTTTTGAATGTATTGAAATTATAAAAACTGTCTCTTTATTTTCAACAGGATGGCTTAAATTCCTTGGTCCTTGATTTGGATTTTCCAGCCTTGAGAAAAAATAAGAATATAGATAATTTCTTAAATAGATGTAAGTATGCTTATTTTTAAACTTTGTATTTGTTCACATAGCTATACTTGGACAAAAGATTTATATTTGATTAATGTTATAGTCCATAGCTTATTAACTTAGCTCACTAGCTTATTAAATTTAAGGATATTTTAGTTTGTTGTTTATTTTATTTTAAAACTGATAAATACAGTGCCTATTTACTTGAGGTCCTAGAATTGACCCCCAGCACCACTGGGCAAAAAAACCCCAGCTGATATTCTTTAGTTCTGAAGAAAAACTGCAGAACTGAAGTGTAGCATGTAATGTACAAGATACTATGTAAAATTCTAAGACTATTTAGCTATCTTAGAAATTATTGGGCCAGGGAGATGGCACAGTGGAATAAGCACTTGCCTGGCAAGCGCAAGGGCCTGAGTTCAATCCCCGGTTCCACCAAAAAATAAAATAAAATAAATTAGAAATTATTATAGTAGTTCTAAGTGAAGTTTTAAATTAATATCAAAAACTTTAAGACATGGATTTAAGCTATCCAGAAGAAATAATGAGCTGTATTGTTTCTATAAATGTAGACATTCTGCTCTAAAACAAAATGATGTGATAACAATTATCACATGTATTGTTAACTCATCATAACATGTTGTGTTTATCACATATATGTTAACATGTATCATAAACACTTTCTTATACTATAGTACTATGTTTGTGTTCCCAATATTAATATTGAGGTAAATTGAATTGAATTCTAAAAATCAGAAATTCTCCAAATGATTGATTCATATTTTATATCACCCTAGTAAACTTTAATTTGGAATTGCCAGACACTGGGGTATTCCCCCATTAAACAATCTTGTTTGTGATTAATATATATATATACACTGTATGGTTACCACTTTATAAAGAAGTAGGTTATCAATCATTGCTAAGATTGTCCTTGCAAGGGATTTTATGGCAACTTTCTGCCATAATTTATAATGCATATCAGTATTACTTAATCATCGCTGTGTCAGCTGACATGAGATTTACCAAGTAACAGAGTTAGAACACAGAATAGCATTAACTGTGATTTTTTTTGGGGGGGCAGCTTACATATACGAGTTTGGTTCTTTCATATAATATGAATCTTAGGGGGGTTTTAGTTGTTGTTTGTTGTTCGTTTCCTTTTCTGTACTAGGGATTAAATCCAGGGCTTTCACACTGAGCTACATTTCCCAGCATTTTTTAAATTTTTAGCTTTGGTGGAGTTTATTGTTTTGTTTGTTTTTGAGACAGAGTCTCACTATGTAACTCAGGCCGGTCTTTTTTTTTTTCTGTAATAGATATGCACACACACACACACACACACACACACACACATTAATTCAAAGTGAACAGTAGTACACCATAAATTCTTACTTTGACACTCACCAAAATAGTCACCTGGAAAACCCACTTTTTGTGACAAAGTACACAAGGCTTGGTCACATTTAAGTCACTGAGAACTAAAGAGAAATACTATCGCAAGCCTTTGGAGTGCCATCATGCCTGGCTGAAATTTTTAATTTTGAGACCAGGGTCTTGCTGAGTTGCCCAAACTGGCCTCAACTTGCAGTCATCTTCTGTCAGCTTTCCAGAGAATCTTAAGAGGTTTGAATAGGAGCCTTTAAAGCAGATTTAGCTGAAAACTAAGTCAAATTTACAGAAATAAAGATTTTTTTACAAGTATGGTGATTATTTACAAATGCTGCTAATAAATGTGGTGATTGCTATTGTAAATATGGTGAACTTTTTATTGTAGACGAGAAAGTTGTGAAAAAAGTCCGAGGCCTGCAGATGAAGGCAGAAGACTATGATGTTGTGAAAGTCATCGGGAGAGGAGCTTTTGGTGAAGTGCAGTTGGTAAGAATTGTTAGATACTCTGATTTGGGGAGGCAAATTCGGAGCAGCAGAGTGACGCTAGTGTCTGTGCTCAGCTGTATCCGAAGTAGGTTTCCTTGCTTTCCCAAGCCGCCAGTCACTGAGTGCCTCCTTTCTTGTTTATAACAGAAGGTTTGTTATTTGAGGCATTTTTACTTCATAAGTGAAGATGTATGTAAACATATGAGAAACTGAATGGAGAAATTTTAATAATTGAAAAGTTTGGGTTTTTGCATAAGTTGTATGAAGACACCTGCATAAAGACTACCTCTCCCGTCAACTAGAATTCAGAGCTGTGATGAACAGAAGAAACATAACCAGGCTCCCTTGCCTTGTTTCTCAGAGGAAAGCTTTTAGATTCTCATAATGAGTAGGATGGTCAGTGTATTTACTATATGCTACTTATATTTTTAAGGTTTCTTAGTTTGTTAGGTGTTATTATTTTAATTGCTAAAAGGCATTGAATATTGATAGGTGTTTTTTTGCCTCATGGTTATGTGTGTCCCCCTGCATCCTCCTGCTAATGTGGTGTATCAGCTTTGATTAATCTTCCCTATATTTAGCAGTTCTTGCATTCCAGAGTATAAACTCCCCTGGTCATGGTGTATAATACTAACTTTTTTTTATAGCATTCTTTTTTTTTCCGTAATTTTATTGAGAAATAAATAGCAATGAGACAGTTTCAAATCAAATTGGTAGGACAGTTCCAATAATTAATACGTTGCATACTGTCTTCCTAATGGTTATTTGTTGTACAAGATGCAGACTTGATATCCTATTTACAAACACTATTAGAATAAATCCCTCTATTCATTGAATTAAGAGAATGTAGCTATATGTTTATCCTAACCATTTTGAATACACAGATACAAAATGGTCATTCATCTGTATCCCCTTTTTTTGTTTAGTTCCATCATTTA